ACTTGTCATCCCGAGTTGCTCTGGCATCTCTTTACTGAATATTGTTTTGCCACGTGCTCCACACCTTTGGACTGCTGCTGAGTTCAGGGGTGGGGAAGAGGACTGTGCATTTCTGTGAGGATTGCAAGTGCTTCAGCAGTCAGCAGGGAGAGGCGGGAAGGGACTGTGACAAGTGGCTTCTGACAGATATGAACGTGAGATCCAGCAGAGCAGAAGAACCATACATACAGTATGCAGTTAATTCTGATTTTCATTTTCTTAATTTCATAGGTAGCAGACTAGACTGACAATGGAATTTGGACTAGAAATGCCATGGAGTAGGTTGATAGCTGGCAATACCTGACCGTGTCTGTCATAAGAGAATTAAACACACTCCGCTGATTCACTTCATTTCTTGCTGGTTCATCTGGCTTGGGCTTAGGGAAGTTATTAACTTGACAGGATGTGGGGAAAGGAGTAAGATTTCAGTAAGTTGGAGAGGGTAGGAACATGTGCACATAAATGGGTTATTTTTCCCTTGCCTGTGTTGCCGTTTCAGAAAGCTGAGTATTTTAAGACAGAAAATGCTGCCATATGTGCCTGACAAGCTGCAGGGCATTTCTGCTGTGGCAGTGAGCCATGGTAGCATGGTTTCAGTCATGGACTGGGACTTCTATTCCCAATCCTGTCAGTCTGCTTTTCATCCGCTCTCAGGGAGGGCTCCATGTCCATATTTCTATCTGTAGCCAGAAACTGCAAAGCACGAGACAATCCAACCGAATCACATGCATGGGCTCAGCAAACTAGGCAGATGTCACTGGGAGAGGTGTGGCAGCTCTCCTTCAGTGATGATAAAGGTGAGTCTACAGTTCCATGCATGTTCCTGCTTCCAGAGATGTGGAACTCTACTGTAAAAATCAGCTCAGTCTGCACGGAGGTTTAGTGTAGGAGCCTTCAGAACACGAGCCTGTTTGCTTTAATAAAATGTGCTGAAGATGCAGGGGTGGGAGTCATTAAGATAACAGTGATGCAGTCAAACCATGTGTGACTGCAGTTATGTATTGATTTGGCTCGTGCCAATCGAGTCTGCCTTCAGCCTGTAGGAAGGAGCAGCAGGGTTTCATGTATGTAGCTGGGGGGAGAGTTTAGCCCAGCTAAGAAATTAAGAAATCACATAATAACATGTCAGAAATGCTGCATCTTTCTTTGTAGTAGTTTCCAGGGTTTTCAAAGTTCCCTTTCCAAGATGGATGCAGCTTTTCCTTGCTTTTGTTTTCGTTTTTCCCCTTTCTTTATTGTGCTTTGTTTCTACACTGTCTAGCTCGCTTTCCACATTTCCCCTAAACCCAAGAGGGATGTGATTGTTTTTGTTTAACAATTTAAATTTGAGCAGATTATTCTGTTGCCAGCATTTCCTGGTTGGTGTGTAATGGAAATCTACCCATAGACTCAGGTTGATGAGGTTGTGGAAACAATGTTTGCTATTGGATGCCTGCCCCATGACTGGCATAGGAAGGACAGCACGTGCTTTAGGAACACTTTAAAGCAGGATTTTGAACTTTGAAGCCAGGGGATTTGGAAAGGGAGAATGACAGAGAGGAACTTGAATTTTTGGGGGTTTTGTGAGCTTAATTTGGTGTTTGCAGTGGTTTAGACTTCGTGACTTGCTTCAGGCAGGATGGGGGCACTGAGACAGGAGCATCTCTCCTGGGAAGTGAGTGCAAACGGGCCCCAGTGGTGTCCTGTGCCAGGAGCAGGGTTGCCTCAGGGTATTCCCTCTATTTCACAGAGATGGGAGGGATGAGGTGACCCCTGACACCGTAGGGCAGATCCAGCTCCCAGTGCTTTCCCCAGCCATGTGTCTGGTGCATGAGGTGATGAGGAGGGGAAGGGGTGCTGGGCCAGACTGCAAATACAGGGAGACTGGGACCCAGCAGCAGCAGCAGCACACGGGGCAAAGCTGATGCTGTGTGTCTCCCACCCGAGGCATGATCTGCCCCTTATGGACTTGATTTTCAACATTTACCATGAGCAGAACTTTTCTTTGGGGCCACCTTGAAGCCTGCTCTGAACAAGTTGCCAAACTTCCAGTTACGTTATGTCTCCTTTCCCCTAGATTGTAATGGTTTTCTATGGCACGCAGAAACAAGGCAAAAACCATTGTTGTTTTTCTGCATCATTAAAGAATGTTCCTTCAGCCCATATTAACTTGGGACTTGTGGTCTGCCACTGCTCATCTGTGTGTGGCAGAAACCAGACCCACACTGACGATGATGATTCTGGTGTTAACTCCCAGAATCTGAAGGGCTTTTCTTTTTGTTAAAGGCTTTTGTGTCTTGTTGAAAAAAATGGTCAAGAGTTTGCCCAGTCTTCCTGGGGAGGGTTTCTGTGAGTAGGAAATGAATTCATCCATTTGGATGTTACCAAAGACTTTTACATTGAGTGACTTTAACATATATTTAAAATGTTTATTTAAAATCCAAGTCAAATGATTTTTAACAAACTGTCTCAAGATAGAAGAAATGGAGGTTTTGGAGTAACTGTATTGTTTATTCTTGGTATTGCAGTAGCACCTAGAGAACCCTATTGTGCTAGATGCAGAACAAACATACAACAGAGATGGTCCCTGCCCATGTGAGCTTACAGCCTTCAGCTCATCCTCTGCATTGTCCTGCTGGAGGTGGAACAGGCATTCATTCTCCTCACATACTTCTCCCATTTTAGCTGGGCTCTCCTGGGGCAATGTGGTCAAACCTGCAAGCTTGATTTCCTCATTACCCCAACAGAGAACAGATCAAACAGGAGGCAAGTTTCAGAGAGCTGAACAACTCGCCCTTTCTCAAACTGATTTTTCACATACTGTAGATACCAAGCCTGTGGCTGAGCCATGTGGGCTTCCTGAGATCACTGCTGCTCCTTCAAGAGCTGTGGTTCCCTTGTTCCCAGTGTCCTCAGGCAGATAGAGGTGTTAGGGTAAGAGGAAGCCTTTTCAGTGATTTATGGTTTGTATCATTTAAAAAAAAAAACCAAACAAACCCAAACCACTTTTTTGTTTTGCCTTCTAAGTTTTCATTCTCATTCGGTACCTTCCCACGGTTACTGCCATATGGGGCAAGGGGAAAGGATGTAATAAACAGCAAATCTGACATCACACATGCACGCTGTCAATCATCAAAGTATCAAAACCAAAGCTTGCAAGAGCACAAACTTGTATAAATGTGGTGAAAAAAGAAGGACAGTGACTAAGCACATCAGGCCATCTTGTCCTTACGGGCAGCTTCAAGATAGGGTGGAAAAATTGCACCCATTTTTTGAGCTTGTCTCCTGGGTCACCATCCCATCCTTTTCCACCTCTTCTTCCAACCCTCAGGTGTAGCTTGGATTTGTCTATTCTAATATACAGAGCCTCAGAGAGACAGTCCCAGGGGGGATGAATGAGGAATCCTTAACATTGGTTCAAGCGTGATCAAGTTATGGGGCCTTAGAGGCAAAAGAAGGTGAAAAATAATTTCTGCAGATCTTTTCTGTTCCTTTCTGTGCTCTCACTTGATGGTGTGGACTGGCTCCTACAGGCTGGGAAGGCGATGGGATCAAGTGAATTAAGAGGAGGGGGCAACTTTGGTCTATGCTTAGTTTGGGGCAGATCCCATCTGCTGTTTGTCCCTCCTACCCACCAGAGAGCAAGGGAAAGCCATTGTGCTTCATTTGCAGGGGTGTGAGAGGTAAACCCAGAGCAAAAAATCTAATTAAGGATAACCAACATGCAGGTCAGAGAAAGGGAGTGAAGAGGTCTGGACCTGGGCAAACAGAAAAGTTGAATTGTGATTTCCAGTGTGTGCTAGAGCCTTGCTCTGGTTGAAGCTGTGTGGCTCATGAATAATGCTGGCAGAGGCAGAGCAACTGCAGTGTGGCGTTGCGTTAGCAGAGAGGAAGGACAGCTCTTTCTGCTGAGGTGCTTCTACCCTGGTACCCCCCCAATAAATAAATAAATATCCTGAAGCTGTGTGTGTCACTGGTGCAGCTCAGCAGAGCTGTCTCTGAACCCCTCCCATGTCTTGCAAGGCAAGGGCAATGGCAGGAAACAGCACTTTCAAAACACAAGCCAAATGCAGAGTGCTCTGAAACCAAATCCCTCTGCCTGCAAATAAGAAAGTTGGGGTTCTGATTACTTGTTTCTAAATGTTTTGTCACAAACTTCCTTTGAGATGGAAAAGATGGAAGGAAAAAGAAAAAAATGGGATGAGTGCTCCCTGGCTTAAGCTCAATATTGAGAATCTCTGCTTAGAGCTCTCAAGGAAGAAGGGCATCCTTGGAGAAGTCTCTTGTCCACAACCTATGATGCAAAATGCATCTCTGGGAGCTACCAGTGTGCTTTGAGGTTATGATACCCAGTCCCCTGGAGCTAAGAAAGGGAAAAAAAATACTCTTTACCTCCATAGAGGTGGGTCTGAGTCCCACATACCCCAGAAGTCTGAGGGAACTTGGATGTGGACTCCTGGGACCTGTCACAGGAACAGGTTCAAACACATACTATTTGAATGTGAATCCAAATTCCCACAGATTTTTGGCTGTCATTTGTCCGGGAGGCTTTCTTCTATCTGTAATTCCACAAAAGAAAAAGAAACAAAAAAATAATAAAGTAAAAGGTGCTTTTAAAATACCATGAGGAGAGAAACTGCCATGGAAATAAATAGTGAAAATAACAATGTTAACACTGCCGGTGTCACAGCAGCTCCGAAATTCAAGTAGTGTGACCATGCCTACAGCACTTTCTCACAGCCACTGTTGGCGTGGCCTGAGGTTCAGAGCTCGAATTGTGTCCCGTTGTTCACTCAAACAACCAACTCCTCCCTGGCGCTGGAATGGATTTAGAAAGAAAGGGAGAGGAAAGATTGATGCAGTCTCTGCTGATAATCAGGTCTTTACTGTGCCCACCTGATGCCGTGCTTCAGCGGGACAAAGACACAAAGTTCTCTTACTTCTGTCCCTGTCTGTCATGCCTGAGATGCAATGGCCATGCTTCAGAGCTGGAAAGGGTATTGCTTCAAATAGTCCCCCATCCTCCTGGGCAGAGGGAGCTGGTCCACGTCAGCTGTAGCCTTGTTAATCCGTAGCCGGCAGAGGTGCTGGAGACTGGGGATGTTGTCTTTGCGGCTGAGCGGCCGGATGAGTTTCAAGTGTACTGCAGCTGCTGCCATCTCTTTCTGCAGGGGAGGTAGAGGAGATGGAGGCGGGTAAGGAGCCTCATTCTTGCTTTCTGTTGTGCAGGACATGACATAGTGCTGGATAAGACTGACCACATCTGGGAAGGCCAGGATGCGAGGTTTGGACAAGTAGTTTGAGTCTAGCCGGAACTTGCTGTCAGTGTATTCGATGCGCACGTTGGTGGGACCTCGGTTTGTCTTGACAGAGAGTGTGAACAGGTAGCTGGGGTGGGTGCTGTCCCGTACCAGGAAGGTGCCCTCAGGCATCTTCTGGAGATGCTGCTTAGCCTCACTGGCAGTGATAGATCCCCAGTACCAACCTGGAAAAGCATCCGAGAAAGAACTCGTGAGGCAAAGAATGTATTAAAGGACTGGCACTGTATTTAGGGAAGCCTTGAAGCCTGCTGAGCTCAGGACCTGGTAAGTAACCAGGCCCAGTTTCAGTAAGATATTCAGAAACAGACCATCTCTTAGTTCTTAGGGTTCTTGGAAACCTTCGTTCCAAGGGTTTCTTAGCTATGCTTGTTATTGCTATGCTGGGGCTGGGGATAAGGATGACTGATCTTGCAGCTGGTGCAGTTTACAGAGAGAGAAGCTTTGTTTGCAATTCTTTATCCTGATTCAGTTATAAAGGACAAAGCTTTTGCTTATACTAATAATAAATTACTTCAGCATATAAGTTTGTAGAGACTGAAAATACACTTGCTGCATCCATGAGCCAGCCATGGCTTTAACAGAGCCAGGTTCCTATCTGAAGTGGGATCAGGAGATTCTTGCTGGAGCTCAGACTGCAGAGTTGGCTCCCTGTATCCTTCTGACCCATGACTTTGTGAGCTGAGCCTTACCAGATTCTCGAAGATAGGAGAAGGTTTTTGCAATACAGAGAAGGTCTTCTTCAGGGTCTCGTGTCTGAGGTGGGTTGCTATCTGGAACTGGTGCTGCAAAGGCAGGTGCGGATTCCTCCTGGAAGGCCATAACTGGGAGAGGCTGCATGATGGGCTCTGACAGTTCCACCGAAAGACCCCTGAGTGAGACTCTCCTGATCTTTTCCTCCGCCAGCAAAGGATGAGGTCTGAAAGGAAGAGCATACTCTGCTATTTTTCCTTACCTTGAAATAGGTGGCAGTGTCTTATCAGTGCATGCTACATACGTGTTATGTTTTATAAGCAGATCCTCAATATGATAACATTTCAGACAGAGAGAGGCAAGGGGGAGAAAATTACACAGCTAAAGATGAGCCCTTAGAAACAGGGAGAGAGGGTCAGCCTCTTCTGCCTTGTAAAAGGTTATCTATCTTGCAATTTAGGTTGATTTTAAACCTGATATTTTTAGATGTTGCCTTTTAGAGCATAGTTTCAGAGGCAATAAAGTTCACAGCATCATTACAGCTTCACTTGCATCATGACAATGCTGGAACATTTCTTTTTCTGCCTCTGGATTTGTTAGTCATCTACTGTAATATAATTAGAAGCAGAAGTGGGAATAGCTTCAGGTTTGTCCTACCTGATTCCTGCTCAAGAGTGACCTGATCCTAAATGTGTCTGTTAGAAATTAGGGTGAGCTGATCTTGTAGAAGAATAATGGCAATTCTTGTTTTAGCCAAGCCTGTTCACCACACAATCCCTAGTATTCAACTGCATGGCAGAGATCTCAGTGCAGCTGTAATCCCTGCAGGATTACAGCAGGAGGAGGTTCTGCCACGTCTGGGCTGCTGTGAACATTAATCCCTCTGTGGCCTAAAGAGAGTGTCAGGGTAGCCATCCAGCATCTAAGCGAGCTTCACAGAACCTGGAAGCTCTCATGGGTCATAGGTGCTCCTTCTCTACAGCAGAAGGATTCTAAAGGAAAGCAGAGCTCCAGGGGGAGGTCAGATGCTGGGGGCCAGAGAAGTCTTCATCCCCAGGCAAGCTCCTGAACAACACTATTAGTTTGTCTTTTCTCCTAAGCTCTTTGCCTCTGTGTGCCCTGTACTGCTGCATGCCCTGTGTTGTGTCACCCACATGCACTCACTTGCTTCAGACATTCTTTCAGACACTTAACATAAGATAGATGAGTTTCCCAAGAGATAGAGTGTCCTCAACATGGGACCATCACAGCACCACTGGAGCTGATGGTGATTGCAAAGATAGCAGCCACCTCCTCACATATCAATGAGAAATGGAAGGAGACTGAAGTCATAAGAACTTCCCTTCTCATCTTCCTCCTTCTCTGTGCTTTGTGTGAAGAGTGACACTTCAGTTACAGACATAAATGTGTTGTCAGCTGATGTGCACCGGATCACAGCTACATTCCACTGTCCTAAGTATGGGACAGGGAGCAGGAAGAAGGAATCTGGGGGAAAAGCATGTAAGAGAGAACCTGAAAATGACTTCAAAGGGATTTGTGAGTGAGAGCTACAATCAGTTCCATGACTGCATTTCTAATAGAACTGTGTAGCTTCGGAGTAAGGTTCTTGGAAAACCACTGGTAAAATTGACTCTAAAGAGAGACGTTTCTTGCCCATGCAGTATATGGCAACCCCCTTTTTTCTATATGTCAAATCACATTTCAGAAGCAGGATATCTACTTGATGTTCATGGCATTTGATGTTCATTGCTTAGTTTCTATTAATGGGTAGGAAACCAAAGCTAATAAAAGTGATTGCTGACCCTTCCCCAGGCACCCTTGATCACATGGACTGTTTTATCAGTGGCTTTCACAGAACAGTAGATCTGAATAGACTTTTCTACCTGGATATTGCTGTTGGGAAACCTCTGAGTTCTCCTTTATGTCCCAACTGAGCTACATTTGTAGGTGTTGAGGGCTGCATTTTTAAAGATATTTGGTTATCTCCGTCTTAATGTAATGGTCTTCTCGAGTGTCTAGCTGCTTGCCTTCCTGGGGGAAGGAGATTCCTGATTCTCCACTTCCCCCCTTTTTGAGCAAAGAGGTCTATAAACCAGATCCTTCCCTGTACTGAACCTATTAGAACAGTTTGTGCTGTGCAAAGAGAGTCTGTTGGCAGAGCATTCTCCCTCAGGTGTGTTCTTATGCCAACTGTTCACTGAGCTGAAAATGGCAGTGATCAATGTTAAGTAAAACCAGTCTTGCATTGCTCACTGCCCATTTGCTCCCCAGAACTTGGACACTGCAGTCCAAATTCCAGATCTCTCTGTACTTACTTTCTTCTGGAAGATTTTTCTTGTTACTTTTTTGTTTTGAACAAGAAGAAAACTTTTCTTGTTTTTCCTAGCATGGAACTACTTTTTATATACACCTGCTTTTGAGAGGGAATTAGGAGCTGGCTAAGAGCCCGGGAAGGAAGAAAGAGATAGCAACGCTACGCAGGGAAACGTACTCCTGATTCATTGTAGAAAGTTGTTCATTTCAAGGGCTGGACCAGATCACAGTTGTGTCCTCCAAAAGACACATCAACAGTGTGAATCTGTCAGTAAGTTTGTTTAATAGAGCCACTGTGGATCTCTGAAGTAGAGCCTGTGTGCTTGAGATGAGGTTTCTCACTGTGCTCCCTCTCTGCCACCTTATTCTGCCACCTGAAGCTGAAGGAGCTCAGACCCCATGTAGTGGAACAGGGAGGAGGGATTAGAAATTCTCATAGACTGGGAGGCAACAGCGTCCTAAACAACTTTGTGTGTGGGTTGAAGACAGAATTGCTGCTGCTGTGGCCAAACAGAGCAGCTCCGAGCACAGGAAAGGGAGAGTAGAGACATCAGTGAGTAACAGGAGACTGCAAGTTTTAACACAGTTACATTTGCAAGAAGGTTAAGAAGAGTTTGCTAGGATAAGGACATGTTGAAAAAGGTGTGCTGGCATGAAGTCAGCCCTTTAATGGGGCACAGTAAGTACTTGAAAATAAGGAGCACTTGTATGAAAGAAAGTAGAGGGGAGATGTGGAGGATCAGGACTGAGCAGAGTAAAGTGTTAGTACAACAACTGCGATGCATAAGAAAACAAATGTACAAAATACAGCATGTCTAGCTGGTAGCCTGTGTGGAGTCTGGAGAGAAATAGCAAATGAACTTCCTTGTGCTTTGGCAATTAGTGTTTCTACACGCCTTGGAAAGCCAAGAAAGTTCAAGAGAGTCAGATATGTCTGACAGCATTTAGTGTTAGCTTTGCAGTTATTTTGCTGATAAGCTAAACTTTGTAACACAGTACAAATAGTACAAGAAAAAGTGTGTCAGGCTGCTCTCCCTTCCATCAGCCACATCCCAAGACTCCCAAGGGAGATCAGTCTGAACAGGAGGAGAGCATGCAGCCCTGGGTATATGAAGTCCTATAGAATAGTGAAAACTGAGCAATTAAGTCATCATTAAAATAGATATTAAGAGACAACCATCTATATGTCAGGCTACGTAACAAGTTCTTAGTGAGTGAAGCAGTAGCTCTGTAATGTTAACCCTGGAGAAAAGCTTCACATAAGGATTTCACAAAGCCGAAGTTGAAACATGAATTCCCTTTGCCATGGCTATAGGAACTACAGTAGCAGGCTGCAAATGTGGGTGAAAACAATCCCACTTGAGTAGTAGGAAAGAATTGGTAAGCATGAGCTCTGTATGTCTGTGGAACCGTGGGGGGTTGGGGAGGAAATCAGGAAAATCCCCATGCTTTAGTCATTTAAAGCAGACAAGGCAAATGCATTGACTGTGTGGAAAACCCGCATGGGCAATGCTGATGCTACAGCTCAGGCTGAAACAAATGCTGACACCTTCCAAATAACGCAGTGTACATAAAAATGCTGAATGGTTCCTGCAGACCAGGTATTAATGCATGTTGATGGCTTTAGCTGGTCATAGAGACACTGAAGTGCCAGCACACCAGTACCAGACACTGATATCGATACCTGTTTTACTGACCCAAAGTGGTGTAACCATACATGTGCCCCCCATAGCTTTCATTCTACAGAAAACTGTGTATGGGTAGGTCTGTATATATGAATATACGTTTAATCTTACCCATAAAAGCAATAGGAAAATGAACTTAATGAGTTTAATGCAAATATTTACTTAGAAATAGGTAAAACCATCTGAACCATGGGGAGGTTTTTCCCTGTAAGCAGTTTGTTGCTGCCGGGGCACAAGAAGCCCTACAGTCTCGGGTTGGTGTCCCCACGGGTGTTAAACTCGGCACTGAACAACACACTCCAAGATTTTACTGATTCGTACTCCTCTGAAGACTTTGAATACCATGTAGCTTGTCAGCAGAAATCAGGAATACTTCATGGTTTCGGCCCATGGTTTCAGCCATGGAATCTAAAGAGCTGATATATAGGACATACACACAGAACTCGGCACTCGGCTAGTGTAAGCCATTGCTATTCCATTACAATCACACTTGGCAACTCACACGAGCCGAAAAACTATCCCTGGGAATCTCACTAATTACAATTATCAAACCACAGCATTTAAAAGAAGGTTGCAGAGTATCTTACCCCTGAACACAGAGGATCATGTCACTCCTGGACCAAGTGAAAAGCATTAAGTCTTCAAGAAAGATGGGAATTGCTTTCTCCTCTTCTCTTTTTCTCTTCTTGTCTCCTTTTTCTTTGCTTCCTGGATGGAGCAAGCTAGTCCCAGCCTCTGGTTAGGGGCTCACAGTCAGAGAAGGCTGGAGAGCCCCAGCAAACCTCTTCCACTGAAGGATGTGCTTCAGCCACAGAAAAAGCCAAGCTGAAGGCGAATCGGGCTGTCGGTGAGAGGCTTCACAGTGTTCAGCAACTTCAGCCAGGAAAATGTGTGCGCTCTCCCTCTGCTTCAGAAAATGAAGTGTTCTTGTTCTGCTTTTCACAGAAGGACAACAAAAAAGTTTAAAAAATAACCAGAGAAAAGGGAAATTACTTATGTTTAAAGAGGAACTGATCTTCCTTCAGAGCAATCTGGTAGAAAAAAAACATCCAGAGCGCTCTGGAATAGCAATAAATAGATAGCAATAAATAAGGTGTCCCCGGGTGCTGGGGAGGAGAGCGGGAGCGCAGCGCCGTGCTTTGGCCCTGCCTGCCCGAGTGGGGAGGCGCGGCGGGGAGAAAAAGAGAAAAAGCCTCCTCGATAATCTTTTGTGTGCCCCTTTTAATCTGTTCCAGGAAGTGAGGGATT